TCTCCTCTACACTTCTTTCTTCTCCAGGTTCATAAATGATTTCTAAAACTCACTTTTCACATCCAACCCTTATTTTACTCAACATAATCCTTGAATTAATACATTTACATTCCCCCTTTTCCTGCCATAACTTATCCTTCAACATTATTGCTACTCCTTCTTTAGCTCTAACTCTATTTGAAACCCTTGACCTAATCCCATTTATTTCTCCCCACTGAAACTCTCCCACCCCCTTCAGCTTTGTTTCACTTTAAAGTCAGGACATCCAGTTTCTCATTCATAACATCCACAATCATCTCTTTCTTATCATTCGCACAACATCCATGCACATTCAAACATCCCACTTGGATGGTTTTCTTTTTCTTTTTAGTAGGCTATATGGGAAAAGGGGTTACTAGCCCATTGTTCCCGGCATTTTAGTTGACTTTTGCAACACGCATGACTTATGGAGGAAAGATTCTTATTCCACTTCCTCATGGATATAAAAGGAAAAGCCATAAGAACAAGAACTATTAAGATAAAATCAAAGAAAACTCAGATGAGTGTGTATACATAAACATGTATACGAATGTGTAGTGTGACCTAAGTGTAAGTAGAGATATCAAGACGTACCTGAAATCTTGCATGTTTATGAGACAGAAAAAAGACACCAGCAATCCTACCATCGTAAAACAATTACAGGCTTACGTTTTACACTCACTTGGCAGGATGGTAGTACCTCCTTGGGTGGATGCTGTCTACCAACCTACTACAAATAATATAATAATAGTATAATACTAATAATAATAATAATATAATACATATAATAATAATGTACAGTGGTCCCTCAATAATCATACGGCTCAATAGTCTTAATTTTCGAAAATCGTAACGTTATTTTCGTCAAAACATTGGCTCGCGAATCGCCGTTTGACTCGCAAATAGTAGTTTGTCTGGAATGCGTACACACAGCCCCGAGCCACCTCACACTCCATTCCCAGCCAGTGTGCCATTGTTTATCAGTGAGTGAGGATGATCCCATGAGTTCATACGATACATTTCATAATATTCCATTCGTTTTAGTGCTTGCAACTGCTAAATAAGTCACCATGGCTCCAAAGAAAAGTTTCTAGTGCCAGCCCTTTGGTAAAGAATGTGAGAAACATATATAATTTAAGAAAAAGTATGTAGAAAAATATGAAGGTGGTGGTGGTAGAGTGGAAGCAGTTGTAATAGTGGTAGAGGGTGCTAGCAGTTGTGATAGTGGTAGAGGGTGCTAGCAGTTGTGATAGTGATGGTGGTAGAGGGTGCTAGCAGTTGTGATAGTGGTAGAGGGTGCTAGCAGCTGTGATAATGGTAGAGGGTGCTAGCAATTGTGATAGTGGTAGAGGGTGGTAGTGATGGTGGTAGAGGGTGCTAGCGGTTGTGATAGTGGTAAGGGGCTAGCAGTTGTGTAGTGTAGGATTGTGGGGGCTAGCAGTTAGTGAGAGTGGTAGAGGGTGGTAGCGATGGTGGTAGAGGGTGCTAGCAGTTATGATAGTGGTAGAGGGTGGTAGCAATGGTGGTAGAGGGTGCTAGCAGTTGGAAGTGGTAGAGGTAGGATGGTGTAGAGGGTGCTAGCATTGTGATAGTGGAGAGTGCTAGCATTGTGATAGTGTAGAGGGTGGTAAGTGAGGTGGTAGAGGGTGCTAGCAGTTGTGATAGTGGTAGAGGGTGGTAGTGATGGTGGTAGAGGGTGCTAGCGGTTGTGATAGTGGTAGAGGGTGCTAGCAGTTGTGATAGTGGTAGAGGGTGCTAGCAGTTGTGATAGTGGTAGAGGGTGGTAGCAATGGTGGTAGAGGGTGCTAGCAGTTGTGATAGTGGTAGAGGGTGGTAGTGATGGTGGTAGATGGTGTAGAGAGGTGGTAGTGATGGTGGTAGAGGGTGCTAGCAGTTGTGATAGTGGTAGACGGTGGTAGTGATGGTGGTAGAGGGTGCTAGCAGTTGTGATAGTGGTAGAGAGTGCTAGCAATTGTGATAGTGGTAGAGGGTGGTAGTGATGGTGGTAGAGGGTGCTAGCAGTTGTGATAGTGGTAGACAGTGGTAGTGATGGTGGTAGAGGGTGCTAGCAGTTGTGATAGTGGTAGAGGGTGCTAGCAGTTGTGATAGTGGTAGAGGGTGGTAGCAATGGTGGTAGAGGGTGCTAGCAGTTGTGATAGTGGTAGAGGGTGGTAGTGATGGTGGTAGAGGGTGGTAGTGATGGTGGTAGAGGGTGGTAGTGATGGTGGTAGAGGGTGCTAGCAGTTGTGATAGTGATAGACGGTAGTAGCGATGGTGGTAGGTGGTAGTGATGGTGGTAGCAGTTGTGATAGTGGTAGAAGGTGGTAGTGATGGTGGTAGAGGGTGGTAGTGGTTGTGGTTGTGATGGTGGTAGAGGGTGCCTTCTTCAGTGATTCAGCAATTCTACCAACTACAGAAAACACCACCGCCTCAGCTGCTGCTTCACCACCATTGTGGACGGCTTATGCTCTCAGTGGCCCTTATACACCCAACAACACAACACAGCACCTCTCGTGACGTACATAATGATTTATTTTCATTCTAGAGTATATTCCATGTTTCTATGTTATTATGTTTATTATGTCATATTAGTTGAATTGTGATAGATAAATAAGCCGTAGAGTTGATATTAGTGTCATATTCTCCAACAATAAACTCGCCTCCCCTCCCTCTGCCTCATCTGCCATACACCAGCAAAAGTCTTCAATAAATGTAAGGTGATGTTAAATGTTCATTTATACATTTTATTAGTGCTTTACATTTATTTGGCATTCTTTTCTGCATGTAAATCTATATTTAAGTTAGGGAAGTGACCCCTGAAGTGACCTAGAGTCCTTATGGAGGGGGATTCCCCTTCCATACAATAACCTCTCTTCCCTCTCTCCTCCTCCCTGTCTTCCATTCATCAACAACAGCCTTCAATGAAGGTAACTGTCATGTTGAATGTTCATTATTTTGTGCATGTAAATCTGTCTTTAAGGTAAAAAAAAAAAAATAGTTGTTGATACTTCTGGGTGTCTGGAACGAATTAATTGGATTTACATTATTTCTCATGGGGAAAATGGATTCAAATATCGTCAATTTTGATAATAGTCACACTTCCAGGAACGGATTAATTACGAAAAATGAGGGACCACTGTACTATATAATAATTATAATAATAGATGGCTTAAAAAAGGCCGTCACTAGATGGTAGTGATTACCACAACAATGCGGGAGCGGTTGTGGCCGCCTCCACCTGTCACATAATGACATTTTATTCATTCTAGAATTATATATCAGGTTTCTATGTTTTTTATATTGTTTATTATGTCATATTAGATTAATTGTGATGGATAAATATGCCGTAGAGTTGATATTAGGGAAATTATTGAAGTAGTATTTTGTCGTGCCTAGAATTCCACGGGAACGGATTAATTCAATTTCATTTAATTTAAATGAGGAAAATTGACTTTGCAAATGAGCAAATCCAGATGCAAGCAAGGTCACGGAACAGATTAAACTTGTAAGTAAAGGTTCCACTGTATAAAAGCTTAACCATTGTCACAACTAAGTTGCACCTAGGTTATGGAAAGCCATCCTGAACCCACTGGATTGTCTGCAGTAATATTTTCCTCAACATGAATATGAATTTTACAAGTTCATTAAATTTCAAAGCAAACAGTAACCAGAGTGCAAGTGCGGGAATATAAAAGTACAGATGAGTCACAGGGGTGTTAGGAAATTTGACCAGTTGATCAATTCTGGGGAAGCCAGCACTGAATCCCCTGTTTTATCTCTACATACTAAAGATGTGTGTTGCCCATCAATGGATCAACTCTAGTGGTAAACTTAACTTTCAGAGAAGCAGAAGTGCAGAGTGCAATATAAATTATCTTGCACAGCAAAAGTAGATCTCCATGCATGGCAAACACATGGAAGCGCACTTGGCATGGCATCTGAACAACAATGATCTGCGAATCCCCATCCAGTGCTCCTCAGAGCATTAATAGAGACCATAGTCTCCCTTAACACAAAGATAATTTAACCATTATGTATATCCATTTTAGGTAGTAGGTTGGTAGACAGTAACCACTCAGGGAGGTACTACCATACTGCCAAGTGAGTGTAAAACAAAAGCCTGTAATCGTTTTATATGATGGTAGAATTGCTGGTGTCTTTTTTTCTGTCTCATAAACATGCAAGATTTCAGGTACATGTTGCTACTTCTACTTACACTTGGGTCACACTACACATTCATGTACAAGCATATAATATATATACACACACCCCTCTGGGTTTTCTTCTATTTTCTAACTAGTTCTTGTTCTTGTTTATTTCCTCTTATTTCCATGGGAAAGTGGAACAGAATTCTTCCTCCGTAAGCCATACTTGTCGTAAGAGGCAACTAACATGTCGGGAGCAATGGTCTAGTAACCCTTTCTAAAAGATAAAAAGAGAAAGTTTTGTTTTTCATTTTGAGCCACCCTGCTTCAGTGGGATATGGCCAGTGTGTTGAAAGAAAGAAAGAATGTATATCCACAGTTTCCTTGAATAAATTATGGTTATTTACCCTTGTCCTTTTAGTATATGTATGGTAGTCCTTTCTTGTACATCTTTCACTTTTCTGTTTAATTTTGTAGTTTCCTTGGCTACTTTTACTCAGTTCTTGTCCCTCATTTGAAGGACCAACCATTCTTTGAAATTCTATTGTTTTTCAGTTTTTCTTTTCCTGGTTAATTTTTGAACTCCATTATTTTCTCTGGCCTTGTTATTGTTTCAGCCTTCAGTCATGGCTGTTTTGTTGAAATCTGTAGATTTCACAAAGATTTAAGTGGCCAAGTTAAACTAATTAATTTTCAAACTTGGCTTGTATGTACTAGTATATCTTTGAAGAGTAAGAGTGCTAATTATTCTGGGTTATGTTTCTATGGCATATTGACAAAAAGTGATGAACCTGTGTGGGTGTGTGTTACCATAATATATTTTATTATTTGTAACAGGGTATAGAAGACTACATGGGAGATATGGACTTCAAACTGGCAGGAACTTCTAAAGGTATTACAGCACTTCAGGCAGATGTAAAAGTCCCGGGAATTCCTTTGAAAGTAGTGATGGAGGCAATACAACGAGCCACAGATGGAAAAGCAACTATTCTGACTATTATGAGGGACACTATAGCTCAACCTCGTGAACAGAAGAAAGAGACAATGCCTTCATTAGAAAAGATAGATGTACCAGCCCATAAGAGGAGCAGAGTCATGGGCCCTGGCGGCATGCATATTCGGCGAGTGCAGTCAGAGACTGGAGTTCAGGTAAATGCTACTACAACAAAATCTGAAGTCTAAATAGAAATGAAACAAATCATTAATTCTAAGATACATGTATTAGAGGATATATAAATTGAGTATACTGGTTGTTCTTAAGTGTTTAGGAAAGGGTATGTGATCCATAATAAAAAAAATTATATTTAAAATGTGTGAGCATTGCACCTCTCTGCTAGTTTTTTCTTCATAACAGTACAGTCATACAATAAACTGAATGCATAGACACTAAACTTGCTAATTGAATGAATGTTTTATATTATTTAACAATAAATATTTTATATATTTTTTTCCCAGCTGACATGGCAGGAGGATGGTACACTGTCAGTCTTTGCACCCAATCAGTCAGCTTTGGAGGAAGCAAAAGAGGCCCTAATGGAATTGCTCAGTGATCAGGCACCTGCCTTAGAGTTTGGTAGTATTTATACTTCTACAATTGTTGAACTTCGACCCCAAGGTGTTATGGTGACACTCTATGATGACATGTCACCAGTTTTACTTCATAATTCACAATTAGACACCAAAAAAGTAAGTTGACACTTGTCATAAACTTGTGGATAAAATATAGTCATCCAGCCTTACAGATTCACATAATTATTTTAATAAAGGGTCTTCTATTTACAAGTTTTTTCAGTGCAAATTTCGTTTTGGCTTAGGTCATAACCCCTGAATCAAAAACCAGCCATAGGATTTTGTTGAAAATACACTCATTAGATTTCCCATGCTCAAAACTGTTGCTTTCCTACCATATTAGCTATTATCCACCAAGGTAGGTTGAACCAAGGAAGGAAATTTATTCATTATTGTACCAGCAATGACTGTTTTATCTGAAGTGCACAGACATCACAGTTCAAATTATCCTCTGAACTGCAACATCCTCACCCATACTTCAGAGTGCCAGCACTGTACTTCTCACCTTTAGAACTGTAAGTCTGACTAGCCAGTTTAGTTGAATCCCTTTAAAAATGTTATCTTGTTCATACCCCTAAAAACACACCACTCAGATCTAACAGTTCATAAATACCTGCTAGATAGTCAAGTCTTTATCACTGAAATTTTCCTTTGCACCACCCTCTCTTCAGTCCTTCCTGGGACATCTTACTGGTCCATATTAGGCAAGTTCAACTTATACCCAACCTCATCCACTCATATACCTGTCCAACCTGCTTGTTTCATTCAGTTAGGTGCTAGCCTATATCCTTCCTGAGCCTATTTTTGTCAGTCCTATGTCCACTGTCCTGAGTCCTCTCTTGGGTATATATTTTCAGAATATTATCTTTTTTTCTTTAACATATTGGTCATTTCCCACTGAGGCAGGGTGACCCAAAAAGAAAGAAAAAAACTTTCATCATTATTCAAAACTTTCACCATCACTCATACATAATCAATGTCTTTGCAGGGGTGCTGCATAGCCCTTGTGGCTTAGCGCTTCTTTTTGATTATTATAATAATAATAATAATAATAATAATAATAATAATAATAATAATAATAATAATTTGCAGAGGCACTCAGATACAGCAGTTTAGATGTCTCTCCAAACTGCTGATATCCCAAACCCCTCATTTAACCATTTGACTGTTTCAGTCGTATATATACGTCTTACGAGGTGCCGTGTTTGACGTATATATACAGTGGACCCCCGCATAACAATCACCTCCGAATGCGACCAATTATGTAAGTGTATTTATGTAAGTGCATTTGTATGTGTATGTTTGGGGGTCTGAAATGGACTAATCTACTTCACAATATTCCTTATGGGAACAAATTCGGTCACTACTGGCACCTGAACATACTTCTGGAGTGAAAAAATATCGTTAACCGGGGGTCCACTGTACTCATAAACTCTAGCGGCTTCAAATCAAGCAGGAGAAAGCTGGTAGTCCACATGCAACAGAATGGGTCTGTGTGGTCAGTGTGCACCATATAAAAATCCTGGAGCACGCAGTGCATAATGAGAAAAAAAAACTCCGACCATTTTTCTTAATTAAAATGCCGAATTTGTGGTCTATTTTCATATAGTATTTATGGTTGTATTCTCGTTTTCTTGGTCCCATTTGATATAATTGAAAACATATTATAGAAATGGAGGTGATTTTAATTGGTTTTACTACAAAAAGAACCTGGAAATGGAGCTCAAAGTAGGGGAAATGTTTGATTTTTGCCAATGTTCAAAAGTAAACAAATGATGTCATTGTCCAATAAATGTCCAACTAGCCATTCTAATATGCAGTCATGAAAGGGCTGACATTATTTGTACAATTATTACAGTATTGCAGTAGTCTGCATAACAGTAAATCTTCTATTTTTTGTTTGAATAAAAATTCAAAATAGAAAGCAAGAGTAATATCAGAGGGGCCTGGAGACATGACTGATGAACAAAGAAAATGTTATTTTAGAGCCAGGAATGTCTGCATTGTTCATTCTGGACCTTATTGTGAAATTGTCATATTTTTTTAATTTTCATGAAATTGGCCAAATTTCAAATTTCTGACCACGTTATTGGGTAGTTGAAATTGGTAAATGGGCAGTTTCTTGTACTAAATCGATAAAAAAAATGGAGTTCTAAAGAAATAGCTATGAGTTTGGTCAACTGGAACAATGGAATTAGCCCAAAATAGGGCTCAAACTGGGTGAAATTGCCGATTTGTAAATATTGCAGAGGCCGCTAACTTCACGAGAGCGTAATTCCGTCAGTTTTCCATCAAATGTCATTTTTTTGGCGTCATTACAGTCTGGAAAAGGTTCTCTATGATTTCATAAGAATTTTTTTTTTTTTTTTTTTTTTGGGGGGGGGGGGGAACTTTGCGACACCAGGAGATACCTCAGGATTGGGGGTTACGACAGTCAAGGGGTTAAAGTGCAGGGACTGTACTTTCCATTTCCAGGACTTAAGTCCGGCTAACCGGTTTCCCTGAATCCCTTCACAAAATATTACCCTGCTCACACTCGAACAGCTCATCAGGTCCCTAAAATCATCTGTCTCCATTCGCTCCTATCTAACACGCTCATGCACGCTTGCTGTAAGTCCAGGCCCCTTGCCCACAAAACCTCCTTTACCCCTTCCCTCCAACCTTTTCGAGGACGACCCCTACCCCTCCTTCCTTCCCCTTCAGATTAATATGCTCTCCAAGTCATTCTACTTTGTTCCATTTTCTCTAAATGACCAGACTATCTCAACAACCTCTCTTCAGCCCTCTGACTAATACTTTTAGTAACTCCACACCTCATCCTAATTTCCACTTTACGAATTTTTTGCATAATATTTACACCACACATTTCCCTTAGACACGACATCTCCACTGCCTCCAGCCTCCTCCTCACTGCAGTATTTATAACCCATATCTATATCCATTTTATTTCAGTTTCCATTTGTACACTTCAGTCATATTCTCCCTAATACAGTAGAGCCCCGGTTTGCAATATTAATCCGTTCCTGAGAGCTCATAGTAAACCAAAATTATTGGAAAGTGAATCAATTTTCCCCATAAGAAATAATGGAAATCAAATTAATCCATGCAAGACACCCAAAAGTATGAAAAAAAAAAACTTTTACCACATGAAATATTAAGTTTAATGCACACAAACTGAAGACATGCACAGTTTGTAGTATGTACTCTACTAACAATAGAATACATGACACTTACCTTTAATGAAGATGAAGATCTGGTGATGATTGATGAGATGGGAGGAGGGGAGAATGTCGAACCTATTGTTTAGAAGGGGAATCCCCTTCCATTAGGACTTGCGGTAGCAAGTCCTTTTCCGGGGTTACTTCCCTTCTTCTTTTAATGCCACTAGGACCAGCTTGAGTCACTGGACTTCTGTCGCACAACATATCTGTCCATAGAGGCCTGTACCTCTCGTTCCTGTATGACTTTCCTAAAGTGGTTCACAACAGTGTCATTGTACAGGTTGCCAACACGGCTTGCAGTAGCTGTGTGAGGGTGATTTTCATCAAAAAAACTTTGCACTTCAAACCACTTTGCACACATTTCCCTAATCTTTGAAGTAGGCAACTTCTTCAATTTCTCCCTCCCCTCCTCCGAAGCAGTTTCCTCAGGTCTGGCCTCTTGCTGTTGAAGATGATCTAGCAGCTCATCAGTGGTTAGTTCATCACTGTCCTCCTCCACCAACTCTTCCACATCCTCCCCACTAACCTCCAACCCCAAGGACTTCCCCAATGCCACAATGGATTCCTCAACTGGCATAGGATTCCCAGGGTTAGCCTCAAACCCTTCGAAATCCCTTTTGTCTACACATTCTGGCCACAGTTTTTTTCCAGGCAGAGTTCAAGGTCCTCTTAGTCACTCCCTCCCAAGCCTTACCTATAAGGTTTACACAATTGAGGATATTAAAGTGATCCTTCCAAAACTCCTTTAGAGTCAATAGAGTGTCTGTGGTCACTTCAAAGCACCTTTCAAACATAGCTTTTGTGTACAGTTTCTTGAAGTTGGAAATGACCTGCTGGTCCATGGGCTGCAGGAGAGGAGTGGTATTAGGAGGCAAAAACTTGACCTCAATGAAGCTCATGTCCCCAGAAAGTCGCTCTGCCAAGTCTGTAGGATGACCAGGGGACATTGTCTAATACCAGGAGGCACTTTAGATCTAATTTCTTTTCAGTTAGGTAATTTTTCACATTGGGGGCAAATGCATGGTGTAACCAGTCATAGAAAAAGTCCCTAGTGACCCATTCCTTACTGTTTGCCCTCCACAGCACACAAATTAGCCTTGAGGATATTCTTTTGCCTGAATGCCCTGGGAGTTTCTGAGTGATACACCAATAAAGGCTTCACTTTGCAATCACCACTAGCATTGGCACACATCAGAAGAGTGAGCCTATCTTTCATAGGCTTATGTCCTGGGAGTGCCTTTTCCTCCTGAGTAATGTAGGTCCTGCTTGGCAATTTCTTCCAAAACAGGCCTGTTTCGTCGCAGTTAAACACTTTTTCAGGTTTCAAGTCTTCACTGTCTATGTAATCCTTGAATTCCTTCACATATTTTTCAACTGCTTTTTGGTCCAAACTGGCAGCCTCACCATGCCTAATCACACTATGTATGCCACTACAATTCTTAAAACTGTCTAGCCTTTTCACAAATGATCACTTGAGAGATGCTATCTCCTGCTATCTGTTTTTCATTTATCCACACCAATAACAGTCTCCCAACATTTTCTAACACTTGCGGTCGCTGTTTCGTAATCACAGTTGCACCTTTTGCAACAACAGCTTCCTTGATTGCCATTTTCCTGGTCACTATAGTAGAGATGGTTGATTAGGGTTTTGTATACACCTTGGCCAGCTCTGACACACACACTCCACTTTCGTACTTTGCAATTATCTCTTCATTTCAATAGTCATTAGCACCCTTGGTCTTGAAGGGTTTGGCACTAGAAGCTTTCTTGGGGCCCATGGTGACTTATTTTGCAGAAACAAGCACCAAAAACACTGTGATAATATGGAATGTACCGAATGTATCCTTAGATGCGAGCACACTGGCTGGCTTATAAACACTGGCACACACGGGGCAG